CCCTGGCTTACCTCTCCACTCCTATAAAAATAATAGCTATTATCACCACTTTTATCTCACCAGTCAAGAATACTGTAGTCCCCTAAAATAGCGATTACAGTAAACTATCAGTGTATATACAGTGATAGTTTACTGTGTGTATACTATCAGAGTGTAAACACTGAGAGGCAGATATACATCTCTCGTATGTATACATGCTTATTAAGTTTTAAAACAAACTATTGTCAAAGAAAATATAACTGAATTTTTAAAAGCGTAATAACATGTTCAGAAACACGTAACTAACATGTTCAGAAACACGTAACTAACATGTTCAGAAACACGTAACTAACACGTTCAGAAACACGTAACTAACATGTTCAGAAACACGTAACTAACACGTTCAGAAACACGTAACTAACATGTTCAGAAACACGTAACTAACATGTTCAGAAACACGTAACTAACATGTTCAGAAACACGTAACTAACACGTTCAGAAACACGTAACTAACACGTTCAGAAACACGTAACTAACATGTTCAGAAACACGTAACTAACATGTTCAGAAACACGTAACTAACATGTTCAGAAACACGTAACTAACATGTTCAGAAACACGTAATCAACATGTTCAGAAACACGTAACTAACATGCTCAGAAACACGTAATCAACATGTTCAGAAACACGTAATTAACATGCTCAGAAACACGTAACTAACATGTTCAGAAACACGTAACTAACATGCTCAGAAACACGTAACTAACATGTTATATTCAGAAACACGTAATCAACATGTTCAGAAACACGTAATTAACATGCTCAGAAACACGTAACTAACATGTTCAGAAACACGTAATCAACATGCTCAGAAACACGTAAATAACATATTATATTCAGAAACACGTAATTAATACGTTCAGAACTAGAGAAAATGACTGGCAATATAACTATTATATCCCCCTATAATTTTGTTTCCATATAAATTATATGACTATAACTCATATTTTCATGAAATTATAGGAGTATAATCTGTGCTTTTATTAAATCAATCTCTCAGTCTATACAAATATGACATCCATTTCCCATTATTTTTTACTTTCTACAATATGAAATAAAATAAAAAAAAAAGATATGAAATAAAATAAAAAAAAAAAGCCAGAAAATGTCACTCATTCACATTTAAGCAAATAATAATAATAATGTAATAATAATTAATATAAATATAAAAATTAATAATGATAAAAATAATAATACAAAAACATCAAAATATTATTAAAAAGAATTTAATAATAATAATAATCATAGACACTACGGCTAGGCCTGGGGACAGTTGGTCCCAAAGATGAGGGGGTAAACCAACCCATCATCTTTGGGACCAACTGTCCCCAGGCTAGCTGGTCTAGTGGCTAACGCGACGGGCTGGAGTTTTGAGACTCTCTGACCGCGGGTTCAATCCCGGCCGGGGGTATTATTTGTTTGCAATCGTGTCATTACGATTTCGTGAGTCATGAGGGGGTACTTGTGCCTCCTCCCATGGGAGACTAACGTCTCGAGACACTCCCCAGATAAGGAGCCAAGGCCGGGTCACCACTACTTGGAAAAGACCCGGGCCGGGAGAATACCGGCGAATAAAAAAAAAATACGATATACAATATCACACAACTTAATGACTCTTCTGATTTAACGATAAAATCATGGTAATGGTGGCGTGTCGTTGTTCGAATTACACGAATCCACTTAACGACCGTGTAAATTATAGCCTAATTACCCGAGAGGCTCTGTTAACCGGATGATGAGGCAAAGTTAACCACACGATCATGATAATAATAATTATAAAAATAAAATACTACTACTACTAACAATAATAATAATACTATAATAAAATACTAATAATAATATATTAATACTAATAATAATAATAATAATAATAACACACTAATTACAAAAGCAGTAAAACAAAAGGCAGAATATTTATTCTCCCAGTAAGGTGGTATTTAATACCCTTGATGGGACATTAAATACTCCGACGGGAGTATTTAATTCCCCTTAGAGGACAATAAAGCTCTTTTTTTCTGCTCAGGCAAATATTAATTCACTGAACACCTGTAATTTAAAGCTTGTTGAGTCGAGATTATTATTATTATTATTATTATTATTATTATTATTATTATTAGTAGTAATAGTAGTAGTAGTAGTAGTAGTAGTAGTAGTAGTTGTTGTTGTTGTTGTTGGAATAATTGTAGCAGCAACAACAGTTGTAACAGTACTAGTAGTAATAGTGGCAATAGTAGTGCGTAGTAGTAGTGGTAGTAGCCGTAAAGCTGTAGTAGTAGCAGCAGTTGTTGTTGTTTAGTAGTTGTAGCAGCAGTAGTAGTTATTGTTGTTGTAGTAGTAATGATTTTATATCATGTTTAAGAAGAGGCGCTAGACCCGTTGGGGGTGACTCCACCTGGGGGTAGAGGGAGGCTGTAGGGTTCGACCCTGGGGAAGGAGGGAGACAAGCTCCAACTCCTTGGATCAAAAGTCACCGACAACGTTGCCATCTAACATGCTTCGGGCTAGTGAAATGCTCTTCATCCGAAGATCAGGAGCATCGCTTCCCTTCCGTATTCTATCACCTTTACGGGTGATAGAAAATAATAAGTTCGTGGTTTTAATATTAAACCCGCCCGTGGTTTAGGAATCTAACACACACATACACATTACATATATATATATATATATATATATATATATATATATATATATATATATATATATATATTTCTCTCTCTTTCTCTCCCAGTCTCTTCAAATTGCTCTCTCTTCTGTCTCTTGAAGCCAACCCACACACTCCTTCACTCTTCCTTGCCTCCTACACTCTTCCTCACCGGAATCTTTTCATCTTCTACGCCCTGAGAGTGCACACTGGAGATTGGATATGGAGAGCTTGCTGAAGCATCATGGATTGACGAGTGTGTGGTAGCACACACCGTGTAGTACATACACCATGTAGCATATACATACCATGCGGTAGCACACACCGTGTAGCACACACACCGTGTAGTACATACACCATGTAGCATATACATACCATGCGGTAGCACACACCGTGTAGCGCACACACCGTGCAGTAGCTCATATCGTGTAGCACACACACCGTGTAGTAGCTCACACCGTGTAGTAGCTCATACAGTGTAGCACACACACCGTGAAGTAGCTCATACAGTGTAGCACACACCGTGAAGTAGCTCATACAGTGTAGCACACACACCGTGTAGTAGCTCATACCGTGTAGCACACACACCGTGTAGCTCATACCGTGTAGCACACACCGTGTAGTAGCTCATACCGTGTAGCACACACACCGTGTAGTAGCTCATACCGTGTAGCACACACACCGTGTAGTAGCTGATACCGTGTAGCACACCGTGTAGTAGCTCATACCGTGTGGCACACACACCGTGTAGCACACACCGTGTAGTAGCTCATACCGTGTGGCACACACACCGTGTAGCACACACCGTGTAGTAGCTCATACCGTGTGGCACACACACCGTGTAGTAGCTCATACCGTGTAGCACACACCGTGTAGTAGCTCATACCGTGTGGCACACACACCGTGTAGTAGCTCATACCGTGTAGCACACACCGTGTAGTAGCTCATACCGTGTGGCACACACACCGTGTAGTAGCTCATACCGTGTAGCACACACCGTGTAGCTCATACCGTGTAGCACACACCGTGTAGTAGCTCATACCGTGTGGCAAACACCGTGTAGTAGCTCATACCGTGTAGCACACACCGTGTAGTAGCTCATACCGTGTGGCACACACACCGTGTAGCACACACCGTGTAGTAGCTCATACCGTGTGGCACACACACCGTGTAGTAGCTCATACCGTGTAGCACACACCGTGTAGTAGCTCATACCGTGTGGCACACACACCGTGTAGTAGCTCATACCGTGTAGCACACACCGTGTAGTAGCTCATACCGTGTAGCACACACCGTGTAGTAGCTCATACCGTGTGGCACACACACCGTGTAGTAGCACACAGGTACATAAACTTTCCAGCCAACAGATGAAAGAGGAAGAGGAGGCAGAGTATCTGTGTCATAACACTGGTGTCACACAACTTCTGACGGTGAAGAATACTCAATCTTAGCCTCATGGAAATTTAGAAATATAACCAAGATTTCAATTTCTACTTTCTACAGCCTCCCTTCTATAACCCCCCACTCCAACCCTCCCACCAACAACAGACAACCCACTCTACAACAGGACATAACATAGCAGCAAGAGTGGAAAACAGGGGCGGAGATAAACCGTTATTAACATGGGATTTCAATCATATGGAAAGTGACTGAAAGAACGAGACTTCACACGCACATAACTACTGAATTCACGTGGGAAAGGAGTAAAAGGTATGGGGGTCATGGAGGGAATATGGGAGGTAATGAGGCTAGATCTGATGCTGAGGTATGGGAGGGGAAATCCGGTATCCTTGATAAAGAATCATTCACCAGCGTCTAGGCAACATGTGAGAGGCACTGCTTGCCTATTTCAATTTATATATGTGACTTTACTCGCAAGTATATTTTAAGTCTTTCTCTCTATCATTAAATCTTTTAATATGATGAGTAAGACATATACAACACTTCAACATTGAGGGACTGATTACATCATCTTCATTTCAGTACTACTGCTGCCTCTGTATTCGACTGAAGAAACCTACTGTGTAGACGAAACGTTTCAACAATAAAGATGCCCAACTGTTGCACATGTGTCAATCATCTATTTGTCGGTATTTTATATAAATTTTCAACCAATCTTCCAACATTCGAATGTATTTTGTACCTCTGTCGCTTACAATGACCACCAGCAGGCTGACTGGTCAGATCATTCCCTAATTAACGAACGGAGGACAAAGCCTGCACCCAGTTCTTTTCAAAAATCATGTGTGATGTCCCTCTAAAAATCCAATGCCCTTCAGCCTAACATGCAAACCAGAAGTGTGTGTCTTATCTCCCGCAGGCGTGTGTGGATGGAGTGAAGAGGAGACTCTGACAGCAGCGTCAGCGTCGTCAGCAGGTGGTGGTGGTGGTGACGGCAGCAGCTACAGGAAGAGGGAGCTGGTGGTGGGTCCCAGAGAGGATCCGGAGGAGCTCATCACCCCAGAAGAACAGAACAACACCGAGGTCACAGCCCAGCTAGGGGGCACCGCGACTATCAAATGCTACACACACTTCCTCGGTGATGAGATGGTAGGTACAGGCGACGCACTCTTCAGTGTTTCTTCTCTCTCTCTCTCTCACACACACACAGCATCCACGGAACCACTGTACCATTCCCATCAGATGACTTGCTACGTCATTATTACACTTTCCGCGAAGGGTTAAACCCATATGGAACATTCAGCGCAAGGCATGGGTGGAGGCTCGACACTCGTTTAATCGAGAGAGAGAGAGAGAGAGAGAGAGAGAGAGAGAGAGAGAGAGAGAGAGAGAGAGAGAGAGAGAGAGAGAGAGAGTCAACCTAACTGCCCTCACCTGTCTTACCGTTATTAAAGGTAAGATGACCTCACCTGACTATTTTTTTCAAAGTTTTCTCTCTCTCATTTCTCATCTTTCTCTTTGCATCCCATTCTTCCCATCCTTCGTAAAAGAGACAGTGAAAGAGTGAGAATTATTATTCCTCTTTACACGCTCCTTTGATTTATTTTGGTATATAACTTTATATTATATGATGTATATATTTATGTGTACGGGCGTATATACAGTAGTGTGCATATTAATTGGGACAGCGATGAAATAAGACATTTATTTGGAAAAAAATAATATTTATTTGAAAAATACACAGCGATGATATGGCAGATAATTGATTTAATAAGAGATATATGACTGCCCTCTGCCTTTATAAGCATTGCTAAACGCTTTGGCACAGAATCCACCAATGTTGAACACATTTTGGCAAGTTCTTCGTCGTGGTACCAGGTCCTAATAACAATAGCAATTAGTTGCTGCAGAGTTGAACAGCCCTGTTTCACGATCCTGCGTTTGGTTATTGCCCATAGATTCTCAATTGGGTTGAGGTCAGGAAAGTTTCCAGGCCAATTTAGAACACTTTGCCCAATCTCTTCGAAGAATGTCAGCATTTTTCTGAAAGTGTGGCATGGAACAAGATCCTGCTGGAAAATGACTTCTCCGTCAGGAAAATCTCTATCCACAATGGGAAGCAAATGAATTGCCAGGACTGCCTTAAGTTTGTCACTCTTCATAATTTCGTCAACAATGACAACCTCCCCCAGGCCTGTGGGTGTTTTGGCGCTTGTTGAATGTGTCCATTCCAAAGAGGTTCGCCTCTGCGCCGTCTCACTACCACTGATCTGTACCCATGTACTTTAAAATGCGCCTCACCTGAAAATATAACTTTTCTGCATACATCTATCGTCCATCCCTCATGATCGAGTGCCCACCGCAGCCGTTTTTCCTTTATAGAAGGAGTCAATAATTGTTTCTTTACCGGTTTTCTGGCAGTTCTGCCAACTTCAAGGAGCCTTCATTAAATAGTTGAAGAATCAGTATCTACGCCAGCTGAAGCCAACTTTCTCTGTATACCTTTGATGGTTTTACTGGGATTATTCACACTATTCCTTATGATAACCTTGTCATCGTGAGGTGTTGTCTTGTGTTATCTTCCACATCTTCCTCGACGCAGAGCTCCATAATCACCAGTGTCGTCAGCTCTCTTCAGAACCCGACCAATAGTTGACTTTGCTAGGCTCAAATATTTGGCGATCTGTCTGATACTTAAATCAAAATGTTTTTCTAAGAACTACAACACTTGCACACTTCGTAGTGTAAAATCCATCATGAATTTCAGCAGTAATCATGAACCGAAGGAGAGAATTTGACGAAATTACATTCATTCATGGAGCACACTTGCAGGAACAGCCTTACAGAACAACAGCTGTTGTAGCACTGACGAAAGTCTTAGGGTAACACCACAGCTGGATGGTTGCCAGAAGTAGATAGCAAACTCTTCTGAAAAAAATCCAAACTATATTAATTAAGCCAGAGACTAAGACATATGAGATAATTACAAAATTTATTCCTGTCCCAATTAATTTGCATGCTACTGTATACGTCTGCGTATGCATTTAGAGAGAAAGAGAAAGAGAGAAAGAGAGAGAGTGAGTCCCCCCCAACTCTTCCTCTGACGTACTGAGTTTTACAGGAACATAAAAGAACTTCACTCTGTTTCTTGTTCCCCCTTAAAGAAAAAATTCCCCCCCACACACAAAGGCGTAAAATTTCCTCAGCAGCCGTGGCCACCCAGCATCCCCCAGAATCATCCAGCACCACCCATCATCCCCCAGAATCATCCAGCAACACCCATCATCCCCCAGTATCACTCAGCATCACCCAGCACTCCCAGCATCACCCACACTCTCCAGCATCACCCAGCGTTCCCCAGCACTACCCAGGTGCTGGTGGTGTATACCAGATGAATATTCACGGGTATCTCGCGGAGCAACAACCCGACAAGACGCGGGTGAAAATTCATTGGAGTTAACACCTAAGGCAAATATACGTCAATATATGATGGAAAACATAAATAAATCGAGACTAAACATTTCCTTCCAGCCCCTGTGAGGGGAAAATACTCCTTGCACATAAGAAGGAACACAGTGGCAGGTCTACTGGCCCATGCTAGACAAGTCCAAGCACATCTACTCAAGAAGGAGCACTTCAGCAGGCTTACTGGTTCAAGCTGGTCAGGTCCAACTCACACCCAACCACACCCATTCATGTATTTGTCTAGTCTATTTTTAAACCACACAACGTTTTAGTGGGACCAAAAGTCTTCGATGATTGAAGATACCTCTAAAAAATAATAAAATAGTTTTTGAAATCCGTTCATAATAGGGTAAATAAACCGAAAAAAGAGCAAGGATAAACGCGGTGAAAATTGTGAAAAGGAGAATTCGGGGAATAATAATAAAAATATATTTGGGAAGGGGAGAAAGGGGGTTACGCCCCCTCTCTGGTGGTTGCCTGATGCCTGGCTTAGCCCTGGCCAGCACCTGGAGCCAGAGGATCAGAGAGCTGGGACCTGGCTTCCTCTGGTCTCTCCCTCTCTGTCTCCCGGCTTTCAAATACCCGTTAAAGCGAGAGATGTATGATACGCTGCCTCTAATGGCCAGAGGTTTAGTCGCTCATACACGCATACGTACACATACATACATATATATACATACAGAGATGAGTTAGTAAGCTTTGGAAAGAAAATGCATGAAGGGGTACAAGAGCACAGTTCTGCTCGTGTACGAAATTCACATCCACACACAGATGCATGTATACATAAAACATAAACGCATACATATATACAGGCTACGTATACATACCAACGTAAAGTGTGAGGACCAAGAGCTGGAAGAATACATAAAAAACAACACATTTAACGACGTTAGCTTTTACTAAACTTTAAGTTCAGAAGTTGACGAAATCCAGGAGTTGTCCAAGTCCAGGAGTTGTCCAAGTCCAGGAGTTGACCAAGTCCAGGAGTTGTCCAAGTGTTGTCCAAGTCGAGGAGTTGACCAAGTCCAGGAGTTGTCCAAGTCCAGGAGTTGTCCAAGTCCAGGAGTTGTCCAAGTCCAGGAGTTGACCAAGTCCAGGAGTTGTCCAAGTCCAGGAGTTGACCAAGTCCAGGAGTTGTCCAAGTGTTGTCCAAGTCGAGGAGTTGACAAAGTCCAGGAGTTGTCCAAGTCCAGGAGTTGTCCAAGTCCAGGAGTTGACCAAGTCCAGGAGTTGTCCAAGTCCAGGAGTTGACCAAGTCCAGGAGTTGTCCAAGTGTTGTCCAAGTCGAGGAGTTGACCAAGTCCAGGAGTTGTCCAAGTCCAGGAGTTGTCCAAGTCCAGGAGTTGTCCAAGTCCAGGAGTTGACCAAGTCCAGGAGTTGTCCAAGTCCAGGAGTTGACCAAGTCCAGGAGTTGTCCAAGTCCAGGAGTTGTCCAAGTCCAGGAGTTGACCAAGTCCAGGAGTTGTCCAAGTCCGGGAGTTTTCCAAGTCCAGGAGTTGTCCAAGTCCAGGAGATGTCCAAATGTTGTCCAAGTCCAGGAGTTGTCCAAGTCCAGGAGTTGTCCAAGTCCAGGAGTTGACCAAGTCCAGGAGTTGACCAAGTCCAGGAGTTGTCCAAGTCCAGGAGTTGACCAAGTCCAGGAGTTGTCCAAGTCCAGGAGTTGTCCAAGTCCAGGAGTTGTCCAAGTCCAGGAGTTGTCCAAGTCCAGGAGTTGTCCAAGTCCAGGAGATGACCAAGTCCAGGAGTTGACCAAGTCCAGGAGTTGTCCAAGTCCAGGAGTTGTCCAAGTCCAGGAGTTGTCCAAGTCCAGGAGTTGACCAAGTCCAGGAGTTGACCAAGTCCAGGAGTTGTCCAAGTCCAGGAGTTGTCCAAGTCCAGGAGTTGTCCAAGTCCAGGAGTTGTCCAATAGTCCAGGAGTTGTCCAAGTCCAGGAGTTGTCCAAGTCCAGGAGATGATCAAGTCCAGGAGTTGACCAAGTCAAGGAGTTGTCCAAGTGTTGTCCAAGTCCAGGAGTTGTCCAAGTCCAAGAGTTGACCAAGTTCAGGAGTTGACCAAGTCCAGGAGTTGTCCAAGTCCAGGAGTTGTCCAAGTCCAGAAGCTGACCAAGTCCAGGAGTTGACCAAGCCCAGGAGTTGTCCAAATCCAGGAGTTAACCAAGTCCAGGAGGTGACCAAGTCCAGAAGCTGACCAAGTCCAGGAGTTGACCAAGTTCAGCAGTTGACCAAGTCCAGGAGTTGACCAAGCCCAGGAGTTGACCAAGTCCAGGAGTTGACCAAGTCCAGGAGTTGACCAAGTCCATGAGTTGACCAAGCCCAGGAGTTGACCAAGCCTAGGAGTTGACCAAGTCCAAGACTTGTAATAATGTTGGCAAAATTACCGACAATATATTAGGTAAAAGGACTTGTGTCCTTTTTACCTAACAAGTCCAAGACTTAACCAAACTTAACAAAAGCCGTGAATTTCACCCCGGATAACAAGAGCAGAAATGAGGGGAAAGATGTGAATTCTGTGGTGTTTAAAGTAGCCAGCCTCTCCTCCTGCCCATCACGTCAACAACACTCAAAAAAAACAACAACAAAAAAAAAAACCGGAATTGAACCGGTGTTCCTACTGTTTACAACGAAACTATGATACCCAATTTTTTAACCAAATTTTTATTTAGACATTAATAAGGTAAATGAATA